AACCGGCCTTGCAAGACACGAAGCGCGGAAGTTCGAACTGTTTGGACTGAAGGACCTCGCTTACCTCATTAATGATCTTTGTGGTTTGCACTCGACGGGCAGCCTACTTGTTCTTGATCCACTCCATGACGCCTTGATGCAGAGGTCTCTCCCAAAAGAAGCCGCAAAATGTAAAGGCACTGGCTGTCTTACTGGGTTGTTCGCCACCAAAACAGCATAGGGAAATGACACTTCTGCAGGATTTATTGGCTTAGAGCGCTAAGCTGTCCCAACATGGCGAACAAATCGGTCGCAAGCAAAACCGTCCACATTCGACTGCACGTGCACTTGACCTCTTCGTCGTCATCTTCCATGCGCTGCACGAGCACGTTTTCCAACACGATTCATGCGTTGCCGTAATAACGGCGAGCTATTGATATACATCATTTACAGTTGGCGATGCGCAGATCTTAGGGGAGCTTGTATGTGTTTTATATCCCGCAGCTTTCCTACATTTTCTTTCAATTTGAAAACTGCCCTGGAGATGTGCACGAAAAAGTGGCTCTTTTTCTCTACTCATTCATGATGTGGAACGAAGAAATAAAGAATGCCGGTCGTCAGATGCCATCGCGTAGCGAAAGTCGCTGAGGGCATAGAGTTTCGTAAATATACACTAAAGCATACCTGCCAACTCTCCCAAATTTCGACCTAATCTCCCGATTGTACGAATGCTATCTCGAATCTCCCGAAAAGTGACCGCCACAGCACAGCCCCTTTTTTTTTTTTAATCACCCCTGTACGTCAGTCTTCTCTGCTGCCGCAGTTGCGTTGCTGTGGAAGAGCAATCACCACTGCACATCTAGTTCATTGTAAATATACCGTACAGTACCGCTAAGTATATCTTGCCACTGTAGTACTGCGCATCTGGGCGAAGGCTGGCGGCCTTGAGACGGGGACACCATTATACTGAAAGAAGCCAACCACAACTTTTGCATTTGTCTGCCTTTCACGGTAGGCTAGGCCTACACTGCTTCCCTAGGCATCAGTTGTGTTTGTTAAGCCCGAAACATATGCAGCGTTTTTCTGGTGTTTTGCCGGCGTTTCGTATGCCGGCTTCACTCGGCGCTGGCGCTGCCGGTGATGGTGGCCGAAACACACTTCTGGACGATTCCGATATCTGCAACGGCGGGGTCGACGCCGGAAGTGAGTCGACGAATGGAGAACCAATCAGTGCACGGCTGCCAGCGACTTACGCTGCGTAACAGCATTGTTGCTGCTGTCAAAATGGCTGCCGCCCGCCTCGGATCTATTAAGTCGTCGCCGTGCTCTGTGTGACCTGAAAATTCTCAACTGATGCTTGTATTTCACTTAGCTTGTTCCTCAGAAGCTTCGACAGAAAGCGCTCGGGATTTCTTCGAACCGTTTTCGAGCACCAAACTCAAGTCCATCGGTAGGGTTAGCAGGCCTGAGTGTATTGGCTGAATACGTGGCCTCAAAGATAAACAACTTCCAAGCTCAGAGGCCATAAATTGCAAGTTTCTGGTTCTTCGTAATCTCAACAGCCGGTGCTAGTAGTTAAAAAAAAAAAGGTCTTCGGTGGTACTGCAATTTTTTTTTAACCTCAGAATTGGAAATAAGACAAGAAACTGGTTTTCAGGAATATTTCTTGTTGCTGCATTGACGGACACTGCACACTGCTTAGCGTGGTCTCAGGTTAATTCTCTTCAACACACTCTCCGACGCTGAGCTGACGCTGGCCTTCGCAATGCTCATAGGGTTCGCCACCCTTTCTGGCGGCGTTGACGCAATGACGCCGAGGGAAGCGGCACCAGGAAAACGCCAGAAAAATGCTGCATATGTTTCGGACTTTGCATGGTTTTTGGAATTGCTTGTTTCCCCGAATTCAGTTGGAAGGTCGATGGCAGTTTTAAAAGTAAAAAAGTACAGTGTTTATGAACTTTCACACAACTGAGTTTCCGTGCTTTGTGACTTCGCAGAAAGGTGGCAACTATGGATTCTGTATACCATGAGTTCCTGTGATATAAGCATTTCGCACGGTGGCAAGGCCGACATATCTTTTTACAAAAGCACCAGTAGTACGTTCGTGCCGCGGAAGGATAGGACAACATCTGAAGTTTTTTCCAAAAGATCTGCGAAGACAGTGCGATCAGCGTAGAGTGCCTGTTCATGGGATTTCTTGTGGAACACAACTAGCCGCTGAGCATAAGTGATCATCCGGGATTATTGTTTTGGAAAATGTTCCAAAAGTACGAGGGTGCGAAGTGCATAGATGCGGACGCACGAGAACAACTTCCATCATCGGGGAATTGGCTGCAGATGCTGAGAACACAATACGTGGAGGCCTTGAACCACTGTGCTATTGTAGTCGTAGTGTACAAAATGTATCAGTCTCAGTTACGTCAGACAGAAAAAAAAAAAAAAACCTCTTTCCCATTTGTGGTCTCCTGAATTGTCATCCTCCTAGGTTGGCAGGTATGCTAGAGAGAACGCTGGCGCTAGTGCCTATGGGAGCTGCAACTTCCGTTTGTACGGTTGTCATGAAAATCTCCCGGAAATCGAAATTTTGGTGCGTGATCCGGCCACCTTGACAAAAAAGCAGCTCAATTCGCTCCTGGCTTTTCGAACCTACCCCATTTTATTATGAATGAGTTTGAGAGGCGTTCATCTAAACGTACAGTAGAATCTCAGCGATGCGAAACCACGACAGATGCGAACTCGTGAAATTCCTCAGCGAAATTCCTCTGTGTCTATTGGGCCTAAATTCAAATGTTCCGAGCACATTTCCTAACCACGGCGGGTAATACGAACTTTAGTACGAAAATCGTCGAACAAAGACCGAGAGCAGCGTACTCGAAGCTTCGGAAGTATGCGTGCGACTGGCGCACGCACCATCTTTTATAGTGTGTGTGATTGTCGTTGCCACAACCGCTGTCGACGAAACCGTGGTCACTTTTGACACGATCATGTATAGTGACGACGTAACTTACAGAGTCCCCAAGGTGTGCGTGCGTCCAGCACTTAATCAATCAAAGCAACGCTGCTTTCCGCAAACCCTGCTGACAAAACCGTGGCAGATGCGATTGTAGACGGCATAAAACGACTTTGTTTTGAAGGCCTGTGCGCAGTCAAGCGCACAGGGATTGAAAAAGGAACTACCATTTGCCGCAACCGCCGCGCACAACACCGCGGTCGCGGCGGCGCGATAGCGATCTACGAGCTCCGAGAGCACGCAGTGGTAGACTAGAGGCAGTAAATATGTAAAAAAAAAGTCAGTTTCGTCACAAGGGCGAAGCAATGAATGTGACAGCAACAACTTGGAATGTCACACTGAGAACGGCAAACAGATCGAAAAGCGCAGCGTGCTGCTTACGCACCAATGACGCACGAAAACAATACACACAAGACGAGAGCGAACTAACAATGTTTACCGCTCGACACGTAATGCGCTGTTTAAAAAAAAAAAAAGTGATGCTCGATACATAATCACAAGTACGGATGAGTACAAACTAACAAATGTCCCAGTTACACCTCGCTGTGTATGAAAAAAGCGCTCTTTTCGCAAATGGGCCTTGTGCATAGACCGAAGATACCTTTGTGGGCCCGGCAACTAACGCAATCATTCCAGTGAAAGCCGAAGGCACACGAATCTTTCCTCCGAAAGATAAGCGCAGGCACGCAAGCATCAACCCCCCCCCACACACACACACGCACACCCCAATCTGCGGGGCAAAGTACGCGTCAAAGATAAGCGCGCGTTGGTGCATTGCGATGAGCTGGGCACCGAGCGCGGGCGGCTTTTTTTCCTTTATAGAGTGTTGATATATATAGACAAGTATACATATAAGGTGAATGACGCCGGTGGTGGCGACAACGAAAAAAAAGCCTAGACTGTCACAAACAAAGGAGCCAGACACGTTTTGGCGTTCCTGTCAAAAGAATCTAGTAGGGAGCAAAGCTTTGACCCGCGCTTTTGCGGCAGCCAGCTGCGCCGTCCCGTCCGTTCATGTGTGTCCCAGTAAAACATACATGAGCTCTATTGAAGGAAATAAATTCTGCTAGTTGTGTTGATCCTTTGAGACTCTCACCTTAGTGGGATACCCTACCTTCGAGTGTTCGGCCACTCCAAGCCGACTGCAATGCTGATGTTTGCGCTTGCGATTGAGACCCCCCCCCACTCCCACCCACTCTTGTTTTCGTGATGTTTTTTGTTTGTTTGTTTGTTCCTGGGCTTTTTTTGAAGCCGAAAAAAAAAATAAAAGCAATTAATTCAGCCCCCCCCCCCCCCCCCCCCCCCCCCCCCCCCCCGCTGCAGAAATCTCCGGATTCAGAATCCTTGAACTTGGCAGGTATCTACATGGATTTGCCTAGTCTTGGTACTTTAAGTTCCTTCTGGCTTCGCGTGGCTTTAAGCTGCTTTGTCATGAAACAACAATCGGCAAATGTTCGGCAGTTATGCTTCACCACCTTCACCTTTTAGGAGCCCCGATTCAAATCAGCTCACTAAGTTCAATATGGTTTGACCTTTTCTTCGAAACAAAACTAAAACACAGCAATAAATGAAACCAAAAGCGTGTTCATCGCCCGCAAGCACGAAGACTAGGCAAATCCATGTCATACCCATAATTCTCATGGGCGCTGAGCGATCGCAGCACCAGGGTCTCCTCTAGATAATTTTAGGAAACTATCGCTGAGGGGTCAGTGCACACACCACAGTTTAAAAGAAAAAGAAATATCTAAAAGAACTGGAAAGAAATGTCTAAGAGAACTGGGTTCCGCATTTTCAACACTTATGAAAATGTAACTTAGTGACAGTTGTTTCTTTTACGCTTGTGTTATGTATACCTGTGAGTTCTTTTCAAGTATCCTTTATAATCTTCAGTGGCGCGCTACAAATAACGAACTGTTTTTCATTCTTCGTGTTAAATTCCAATTTCTTGCTGTTGCATTCATTGCTTCACTATTGCAGCAAAACTTTGACTTTTTGCATTACAATACTGCAGGCACTGGTGAATGACATCTTGTGTCAGACTGAAGACAGTACACGATTGAAGGAACTCATTCCCATAATGCTCATCTGCTGCTGTCTGAGCCGTTTTATTGAACCGGGTTCTTTGTTGTTTGGTGAGCTCCAAGATTGGATAAAGGAAATCTGCAAGCAGCAAAGCATAAGTAGGTCTTTCTTTCTTCCTTTTTTTTTTTTTTGGACCCTTGCAGATAAGAAATAATGATGCCTGGTCTCGAATGTGTAGACTGTGGGTCACAGAATTTCGGTTACACGTGCAACGTGCAGTGCATATGGCTTCACTTGGCAGAAAGTTGCTGAGTAGTCCACTCGTTATTGCTCACTGTTTAAATTGTAACTGTTATGAAAAATACAAAAATTCTACGATGCACACTGTCTGAATTATTTCTCCGAAGGACTGGAGGCCATATTCTGCATGGTAGCAGGAAGTCTGCAGGTAAACCTCACTGTCCTTTTTCTCATAACTATAGAGAGGTGTATCCAGCTGCTCCTCTGGGGGGGAAGGGAGGGGTCGCCTGAAGTAACACCTGAGAGAGGAGGGGTGTGGTCATGACCTTTATGTTTTTACTAGCCCAAAAACCCTTTATATACTGTTAATGTGTGCTCACACTGGTTTCATTCATTTGTCTTAATTGGTGGTAGGAGGTGGATCATGAGCACTGAAGGGGGGAAAGGGGGGTTGCTGAAACAGACTTTGAGGGCGGGTGATCTTTCCTACCCCCCTCCCTCTGTATCTGCCACTGCACAACCATTTGTATAATCTTTGTCGCAGAGCATAACTAATTGCAATGAGACCATTCCGACTGTGCTACTGTAAGTCTCCACTGGTCGAGAAGTTTATCGCTGTCGTGACCTTCCTGTTGTAAGGTTCAAAAATGTGTGCCATAAGCAGAAATGCAACAGCTGCGCCAATTGTGCCAATTTGATAAAATTTCTCATTCTTGTGCCGAGCTGCACCAAAACCATGAAATTTGCTAAAATTGCGCCAAAATGCCCGACCAGCCTTGAAGTTTTCTCAGTTGCACTAATTTCGGCAAGAAATGTTAGCCACGTTGGCAAATGGCATACTACTCATAGTTTGCGTCATCAATCAATCTAAGCGTGCAGACCCTAACTCTAAACGATGGTGAAGATATATCCCCATCAGGTCAGCGCACTCGCGACATGCAATCGACCAGATAAAGTAACAAAGCCGTGCGCCATCAATCCGCTGACCACTGCGGATACATCTACTTGTTAGTGGGACGACGCAATTCGAAAACAAAAATGCGTTGCATAGCCACCAACGCTTCGCGAGAAATATGACCTTCCTAGTGAGCAAACGTTGCTATGGCATGTTAGAAGGTAAAGTTGGAAGCGTATGCCGCATTTCTTGTACGCAAACAGACTCAACATGCTGCGAAAATTGGCGTTGCCACAACAACGGCGCATAAAACATTTTTTTGCATTGAAATTGCGTCGTTGCGGCGATAGATATCCGGTGCCGTAACAAGCATGCGTCGTTGTTACTTCATGTGGTTGAACGCACCTTGCAAGCGAGACAAAGTTGGGCCCTAAACCTAATCCTATCGCAAAAAAAAAAAGATGGGGGGGGTGGGGGGTGGTAGAGGTGTTTTATGACTTGTTCCAACTCGTGCAGAATGCTGCTTAATCCACCTTTGCCGCAGCACATCGCCGCCCTGCCGAAAAGTGCGTTTTGATTTTGAAGGGGCTGTTAGCACTAATCACAGGAATCAGCACATTTTGTTCACCTACTCATGCATGTATACGGTGCATAATTGTGAGTACTAGTAGGATCGATGACGTCTGAAAAAGTTGCTGACAATCATTTGGAGCAGTGTATGATATTTTTGGCACCCTGCAAAAAACTGTGGGCCAGTTTTTATTTTTTCCCCACCCCTACAAATCCCTAAATTTCAAGCTCGCCAGCTTGGCAGATTCATATTTGCATTCGAAGAGTCAGACGGGGCAAATGCTAATGTGGACGTTATCATTATTTGTTCAGTGAGGTGGTTCATAATGCTAATTTTATGTAAATAGCTGTGCTCTTACTCACACTGCATGATTTAGAGCATGTTGAATGATTCGTACATCTTTTTTTTTCTAAACGTAAAGCTTTTTTTATACTGCTACAAATTTGGACTTTTGTGCTCCAAAGCTAACATTTTACTGCTCGAAAAGTTGCTTCAAATTCTATTTTGGCTGTTGTGCCCCTGGATAAGTTTTCACACCCTACATAATTCTAAAATAAATCACTGCTTTCATGCTAATTATTAAAGTTAACAGATTTTGGTTAATTGGTCTGGTCATGTCATTTTAGGTGCGACTACGTCTTTTTTACTCGACAAAGTTTTTGTGTGAGGACAACAGTAGCCATACTGTCATGGAATATTTATAAATAATCTGCATTGTTTAAAAAAGAAGCATCCTGTTGAAAGGCTAGTCTTTCGTTATGAAGAAGCTAAAGTAGATACTTGGGTGTGTTGGTACAACATCTCAGAAACAAAACACTGCAAAAGACCGAGCACTGTTGTTTGTGTCTCCCCCCCCCCCCCCCCCTTTTTTTTTTGTGCTCTGTCTTTGCACTGTTTTGTTTTAGTCATTGTAGAATTTAGCACAGAAGGCAGGGACGATGAAAGAACCTCACAAACAGCACAAACTATCAACTGAGTTTTATTGAAAAACACCCACATATAAGTAGTGAAAGTGGTCACATGGTCAGAATACAAACAGTAACAAACAAGATTAAATGTAGTGGCTGGTGCTCAAGAAATCAATTTCAGTGGGATGCAGTGTGATATAAGGTCTTGCTATGCATGTCTCACCAAATCTGCTAATAAAAAATGCTTCCTTAATTTCTCGTGCACCTTTCTGTTTTAATTGTGGAAGAACACTAGAACTCGACTGCACGGGCACACAGCCACACTCTTTACAATGTAGCGACAGGTTTCGAACAAGGTGTTCGCCTCAAAGAAACCTTATAGCCTTATAATCTAATATTCAAACAACAGTTTGTCTGCCCGACGTAGCGCTTTCTACAGGCTAACGGTATTTGATATACCACTACCATGCCACATTCAACCAATTTTTCACGGTGCTTGATAGCACATTCATGATCCCGCCTGCTCTGCCCTAACAACTTCTTGTGCAGAGCCACGCAAATCTGGCCAATCTTGTTCTCAGTGAAAAAAATCACACAGCATCCGAACCTAGAGCCCACTTTTTTCAACCAATGGAATATGCCATGAACATGCGAGATACTTACAAAAGGAGGCACATCTTCGCTTTTAGCCTAATTTTTACCCCTCACTTGCATCTTCACTTTCTGTAAAGTCCTCTTTGTATAAGGCGGCTAGATGCTACTTTGATGCTGAACCAACTCAACCAACAAGCCACTGTTTTGTTTCCGAGATGTTTTGGATGTACAGGGAAGAAGATGTTTGTACAAGATGTTTTGGTTGTAAGGTGTTTTGGTTATACAGGGAAAGCTTTTTTATTCAGATTTCACAGGACCGGAAAAAATGTTCAGATTAACCAAATGAAGAATTATCAAACAAGTGTCTGTTACATCAATGCATTTTCATTTTCTTGGTGAATACACAAAACTAGTACTGATTTCCCACAAGAGCAGTAATTTTCATTTTCCCAAGACTTCGTTCACTAAACGACCATGTGTTTCATTAGCTCGAAGCATGCTTGACACCCCTCGCTTGTTATGTACCGCCAACCTCTGCACAAACGTGACAATACTTTTTTGGCATATAAAATGGCAGGCAGATAGTTCATCCATTGTGATGTAGCAAGCCAGTTTTGTGCCAGCAGGCAACTTTGGCTGAAAGCTCTTACTCTTCAACAGCTTCTGCCATGTTTTAGTTTTGTGACCTTGCCGCTGACTGCCAGATTTGTGTGTCGACAAAGCCGCGATCCCTAACTGATGACGATTGGGATGTGAACAGTGCTGCCTCATTTAAGTTGTCTGCGAATCCTGCTTTAGCACTTTAGCATCACACATTTATGGGCTTCATGCTCAGCTCACTACAAGGATTGTCGGTAACCAGGTTGCAGCCATATGTGACCAAATTAATAAGTGTTTGATGCCGTTCAAGAATGCATATGCTGGCTGAAACCAGGGAACATGTCAGAACTATTAGATTTTCTTAATTAACATGCTTTTACTGTATTGAGATATTTTGTATGCATCAAGATGTAACTTTTCTTTGACGTATTCTTACACATCTGTGTAACCATGCTTTTCACACTTCTTGAAACACTCGTTTTAGCTTTGGAACTTGCTCATTTGTGTTTTATATGCTTTGGTGAACATGAGGCATAATAGTATAATAAATTCTTGCCTTCTGCCTCAACAGCCGATCCAGCTGTAGCTCGCAGTCTACTCTCATTTTATCTTAGTGTGAGCCATCAAACACATGACTGCCTCAAGAACTTTGGCAATATTGCTGTCTGCTTCCATTACAACCTTGGAGATGTAGATGAGGTATGCCCACTTTTCATTATCATCACTTTCTTTTTTGTTCTGCTTTGCTTATCAACTTGTGCTTTTCTTAAAACTTTTACAGGATGTAGAGCTTTCCACTAAACAAGTGTTCTCCCTCATCAATGCGAAGACAGTGGCATCACTAGTGCCAGTACTTCTTGAGCACATTCACAAAGTACATGAACGCATCGACTGGCTACTGGCTCTGGTCAGGTCCTGTACTGCCCTGGAAGCACACATGAAGGATAATGACAGTGAAGGTATTGTTTTGTGATTTGGCTTTCTTTGTGACTACTGTCATTAGATAGCTAACACAGTCTAGCTACAAGTTTTTGTGCACTAACACTATGCGACAAACTTCAGCTGTTAACAACTTTTGTTGTGCCTAGTTATTTGTTCAACTGCACTGACATTGTAGAAATCTTCCTATTTCAGCTATTCTGGTGAGTTATCTGCTGACAAGTACGTTTAAATTTTTGTTTTTGACCTTAATAACAATTGTGTATACGTTATTCTTGAGAACCTCTTTTAATTCATGTGCAAAAGATGTTTTTCTTAGTTTATTGATGTGGTTTTATTCGAAACAACAAACGCTGTCATTCCTTTCTCTGTTGAAGACTCTTCAGCATCTTCGAGGCAGGTCCAGGAAGTGGGCCTGTGCCGGCAGCTTGGCTACCTGGTGGCGATATTCATAGAGCTGACCCAGTCCCAGCTGCCAGCGGGCCAGTGCACTGTGGCTGTCATGAAGCAGCTCACTCGACTGTACAATTCACTCGCTGGCCTTAGCAAACTGGTACAGTTAAAACCTATTTCATATGCTGATGAAAGTTGTATCTGCCCGTGTCAGGGGGTCCTGTGATGCCGACAGAACATGTTTCGATTCTAAACCTGTACAGAATAGGCATCCACGATGCCCGAATGGCTAAGCAGAACTATTAGTCGTTTTTAGAAAAGCTCCTTCCTTGTCAACTGCAGCAGCTCATGACACTGCATGCGGCGCACTGTAAGGGTAGTTGAACCATCGTTTATTCATGCAGTGGATGTGACCTTATATGCAGTGCACCTAAGTGTAGTCAAACCATCTTTTATTCATACTGTATCAACATTTAAAAACACGATAAAAAATAAACCAGCTGGACCTTAGTAGGGTTGGGCTCTAAGTTGACCACAAAAATAAATTTTAATATTACCATTGAAGCAAACTGGAACGTGGAGGCAGCCATGAGGGGTACCTTTTCACTCGAAGCAGGTTCCACTTTTTTCTGGACCGCACTTTCTAGCTTCCTTTTTCCCCATTTTTATGCATATATGACATAGTCTATATGAGTTTTCTAGTGACTGTCCACCTTTTGTGTAAAAGGGTTGGATAACACATAAACTCCTTGCTCTTGCCATATCTAACTGGAGCTTTGGTGGCAATGCAATATGCCCCTCAAATGGCACTATTAAGGCCTCTTTGACAAGTAGCATAAGCTTTTGAAACACATTATAAACGTGCTGCTGTCTGTAATGGCAGCTTATGGCATGAATGGATATGTGAAATGTGAAAGCGAGGCTTTTCAATTTGAGATAGAATAAACTTCACTTCTATGCATAATTTTTCTAAATTTTATTTCCACCATAAAAGAACACTTTGAAGTAAAATGATTTACGGTCAAAAGAACCTCACAGAGCCTTTTTAAAAAAAATTTCTTTTTCTTCAGCTTGAACTCTGCAACACGTCAAATTATGTCCTGCAAGTGCACATGCAGAAAGGAAGTAGGAGTTGTAGGGTAAAATTTTCTTAAAAGGGACAGGGAAGTGCGACAGTAACGTGGTTTAGATTGATAACTGTTCCCTGAGAACTGTAATGTCGCAAGTTTTGCCATTATAAGTTCATTATTAGAGGAGAAAATCAAGGTCGAAATTTCATTTCTGAACTTCACGTGGAAATCTCCGCACGTGGCCTCACTGATCTTAAAATGCATTTTTCGTATTTTCACGACATTGGCTCGATGAAAGTTTCTGAAACTTCATATGTTTGGTCTATAGCCCCCGCAGATGACAATGTACTTAATTTTTACTGATCAGGAACTATGTAAGACCTAGTAGACGCCGTCAAAATCTACGACGTCTCAGTGTTTGGTGTGGGAATCTCAAGGTGGCGTCTCCACCTGCATTTTCTTTTCATGCGTTCGCTCACTTACTGTGCGTCGTCTCGCGGTAACAGTGGAATTTTCAAGGTTATGGAATCGTACCTTACTAATCGGCAAAAAATTGTTTTTTTTTCTTTAGTGTCCTTTTAAGTTTCTTGAATATATGTATGTGCTTAGAGTGATGCTGTGAATTTTTTTCGCTGTTATGCAATGGTACATGCAAAATGTTGTTAACACAGGCGATGTAATTGCTCACTTGACCTGGTTGGTTAGCTTCTCTTTTGAAGAGAGCTATCAGGACAGGCGCTACATAACAACTGCTTGTGCTGTTGGCTCACTCATCTGTGGTTAGTGCAGTTTCTGGTATTTAACAACAGTATGCAAGCAGTGTTTTGAAATTCTATTTGTCTGTTAATTCTTTTTCGAAGTGAAGCTGAGCTTGCCCATTATTGCACTAATAAAATTTAATTTTGTGTTAGTGGAAAATAAGCTTATTTCTATTTTTTACAGGATGGCCTAGATTAGCTTTACCGATACCTTAGTGAAGCATTAGGCTGGGTAGATAAGTCTACTCCTGTGCATCAGGAAACCTGCAGCCATGCCAGCTGGCTTGCACTGTGGCCATGTTTGACAGACTGCATCGAAACATCTGCGTTTTGTTAGCCAATAACCTTTTTATGCCTTTTTATGGTTTTGTATTTTCTACAGTCCTACCTGATTCCTTGTAAAGAGTTCTCATGATTTTTTAGCCAGGCAGATTTATGATTATGATTGCGTCTTAGTGCTGAATTATACGCAGTGCCCATAAAATATTTTCATGTTTCTTATCTTCAAACTTCAGCCATATCTTAAAGTGGAGGTTGTGAACAGGGAGCTTCTATGGGATGCAATTATTGGTACACTGCAACAGATAGGATAGATGATAATGCTACAGTGTGCATGTGCATACCCAGCACGTTTTCGTGCATTATATGTGTAATGAATATGACGGATATCATGGCCTGTAAGCTGGCTGTAAGCATTGGCTGGACCAACTTGAGGATGAATACATAACATCCTCACAAGTATGCTAGTGCACTTTCAAAGAAATCTGCATTTGCAGTTTCTAAATGCTTTTTCAAACATCTGGACATGGTTGTGAGTTATGTAGATCTTCGTAGCATGGTAGACATTTTCTATTGTCACATTGCAATAAGCATTTGCAGTGATGGAAGTGCTGCTCCGATTGCTACAAACTGCTCCAAATGAGAAATGCTGCTCCGTGCTGCTCCAAAGTACAATATTTGCTAGTAACTGTTCCAAACCTGCTCCGAAAGGATGTTGGCAAGCTGAAAAGAATGAAGTTGAACCATGGGACCGTCCCGTGAGCCTAAGCGAAATCTAAAGCAAGCTGTACACACTATCATCCCAGTCTGCTACTCAGGCGCAAATCCAGAAAAATCTAAAGGGGTGACACATATCAGGCCATGGTGTCTGATTCGTATTTTTAATATAGGTTGTCTTTTTATTTATATAAAAATCGAATCATGCTATCAAATAAAATTAAAAAAAAAAACGAGCATAAAGTCCGAGCTCGAGCAATTGCGTTGTTCTATTCAGTCTCTTTTTTCACCTTTTCTCGATTTCCATAGTTCATACAGCTGAGGGGCATTTAACACAGGTACGTAATAAAACATAACAAGCCTTTTAAAAAGTTAATTGCACTATACTTAACTGTTAACTCAATTGTATCGCGTGCTAAAGCTAAATCTCAATTGGTACACTTGCAAGGGGTGTCCTCCCCAGCCTGAGCACCAGAAGTCCAAAATTTCTTGACCTCCCTCCCCGCCCATGATTTACGCCAACTATGCTGCTTATATACTAGCTGCCTACTAGCATATGGCATGTTTAATGATAAATATAAATATTTATTAGATGCTTATATGATGTTTTAGACTTCAGGAGTCTTTAGGAGCGTGCATCTGCTCCGAAAACAACAATAGCAGCCCTAAGCTATAGCACTTTTTCTGCTCCAAAGACACTTAAAGCTGCTCCAAGCACCATTTTTTCTGCTCCCGAATCTACTCCAAAAAGCAAAATGTTGCTTCCATCACTGCATTGGCTATACACTGAATTTTTGGGCTACGAGTAGTCAACGTAGCTAAGGAGTTTGTCGGAGTCTGTAGGCACCTGTATAAGTCTCGCATTTTTAAATTGACCTAGCTCACTGCTGCTGATATCTGTACAGGTTTTGTCTCATTTCTCTTTCCAGTACCTGTCACTCTACAGCTCCAAGTTTGGTAGCTTTTGCAGCAAATATGAAAAGCTTATAAAGCTTGCAGCCACACAGCTCACACCGAATGTCTACTCAATGATCACTTTCCTACAAGTAAGTACTGTGTCCAGAGATGTGTCCAGAGAAGAGGCTGAATGTTTTTACCTGTGCCAGTTCTGTTTTGCTTAGTTTTAAAAAGTATGAAGTCAATTACAGTGACTTGAGCGCTGCATGGACATCAATGCAAAGCGTACTTAACATACCGTACCTTCCCATTGCGTTTACATACAAACTACAGACTTTCGTAGAGCACGCAGTGCAATCGAAGCGTAGGCTAGAGAAGGGACCTTCTAAAAGCCTATTTTAGGGTGCCTACTGCAAGTATAGAGCATTGAATGCAGTGTTTAAACGTGCACACATTTATTGAAATTTATTTAAGTGGGCTCTGTAATCCAAAAGGATATGCAGTTCAAGGAACATGCAGTTTGTTCACATCTAAGTGCAATGTCCACACTAGACTTGCTTAATCCTATTTATTCTGTAAAAGTGTCTTCAAAGTTTCAAAAGTTTTTTTTTTTTTCATTTCATATTATATTCGCTAAGGCACATTGCCTTAGCGTTGGTTGGGGTTCATCATTTATATGGGTATAGCACGTGTGCATGTGTCTCTCTCTTTTTGTGTCCTTGTCGTGGTGCGCTATACGCATATAAATGATCATATTATATACACAGACAACAAATACTTGTCTGTGCTAGCCTGGCCATAAAAAGTTCTATGGCCACACTGGTGCTGATGATCCATTGTGGCATAGCTTGTAATTGGTGGGTAGCTATTTAGGTGGCTGTACTGTTGCTGAGCTGCTGGTAATGAACTGTCACACAGTCCTTTGTATCATTTAGGCGGCTTTAAAGCTCTCACTCACCATGCAGTTTATGTGGCATAACATATAGTGTTATACCTTGCAAATACAAGGAAGAGTTATTGAGGCTGCTGCTCATGACATTGATGATGAACCATGGCTTAGCCATTTGTAATCTGTAGGCTGCTTTAAGGCACCCACTTGTTATGCAGTCCTCATGGCATGACACCTGATGCAGTACTGTGAATCTGTGACGCAACATTTCAAACTACTGCAGCTGTACACATGACCCCTTGAGCAATGAAATTCCACTATTGAGGCTGTTGTAATGACGAACAAGCGCTTTTCATCCGAGCTCTCGGCAACATGCTTTCTATGTCACCTCTAATCTCACGAACTGGGACCTTATTCTTCCCTACATAAAGCACTCCTACAATACGGCACCCCAGACGACAGGCTTTTCCTTCTACTTTGTGGCCGATTACTATTGTCTCCTAACAACACCTTTCTTCCATAACGACCCTATTCATCACAATGCACACCAGTTTCCGAAGCTGCTAGATATGCAGAAGAATGTCGGCAACTGGCGCGCTCACTTATATGTCAAGAACAGGGGCAGCAGAAATTATGACATGATGACGGATGGTCCCACAACCATTTTTGATCCAACACTCTCGTTTGACTGTGGATGCCTCCCACTTATGTGCCAGGTATCTCATCGAAGTTTGGAAGCAGGTACCCTATCGCATCCTACGGCCAACTTCGCCTGCCAACAACCTCATTGAACCCGTCACACCCTCTGCGGACCTGTGTCGCTGAGGCCACGAAACTGTTCACGTGGATCGCCTATACCGTTCGGTCTAATATCTTCCCTTAGACTTTCCTTGGCATTATTGTCTGTTAGATCTCATTATTATCGTGCAAACCACGGAAAAACGAGCCCTTAAGTATACACTTCTTTCCTTAATTCATCAACGAGGGTCTCGTACTGGCAGACTTAGTGTCTTTAGGTTGTATACGAGGGACTATTAGTCAGCTGCCCACTCGTAATAAGTTCACGTGCTACGTGATGCCAAACAGGCTCAAAAGAGTCTGCCACAATCGCCGCCATGACTATGGGTGGCGCTGACTGACACTCCCACGTTTAAAAAAATCACATATAAAAACCCAATAAAGTGGCTGGGGGGATAGCTGCCGTGGTAGCTCAGTGGTAGAGCATAGAACGCGTTATTCGAAGGTCGCAGGTTCGGATCCTGCCCATGGCAAGTTATCTTTTCACCCACTTTTCTTTCTTTATATTTACAATAAAATTCGGTCTAATAGCTTCCTTTATACTTTCCTTGGCATTATTGTCTGTTAGATCTCATTAATATCGTGCAAACCACGGAAAAACAAGCCCTTAAGTATACACTTCTTTCTATATATATATATATATATATATATATATATATCCTCCTTCTGCCTAGTAAGAGCTATAAAGAAATTTGAATGCCACTACTAGTAATGTATACTTTCGCAGCCTCCTAAATAAAGTTACGAGGAGCGCGTCGCCGTGTTTATTGAAGTCACTTATATCCAGCATTTGAAGCTGAATTACTTTTTGGCACACGGTTGGATAACATGAAAAAGATTCAAATCATTTTTCTTTCATATGATTTAGGCATATAAAAACTATGAACGTCTATTGTCAAGGGCCCAAAAATTTGTTAAGCATTCTGGCGGAGAAAACGTGAAGGTGCTGAATAAACGTCACAAAAATCGAAATAGGCTAATTTAAGACATCTTCATGAATAGAACAATGACTTTGTCATGCATCCAGTGCCATATAATTTAGCTACATGCATTGTGGATTTTTCTTTCAGCCTGAAAGCAAGAAGCTGGTTCTGGAAAAATAAAAACGTCAGGTGCTCGGCACGCACACAAAAATTTGGCTTTTTGACTAGATAGCGCCTACGTACTCTAGTTAACATGCGATATCTCATCACTGCGATAAATTAAATTTAAAGAATACCTATTATAACAACTAAGGAGATCACTGTTGGGAGAACAATTAGCTTATTTGCGGCGGCGGCTGCCTAGAGGGAGCCGCCGCCACTCGTTTCCCCGTCCCTCACGTCCATGCCGTGTCACGCTGCAGCAGCCGCAACTGCAACTACGGCTCACACACGCTCTCCCATAAAAAGCCGCACAACGCGGCAGGCCGCACCATGAGCTTTTTCATCCAGCGGCCGTGACACTATTAACGAATGGTGTAACTCCTTTAGAGGGACCTTCTGGATGTCTAGAGTTACTTTGCCCCCCTCCCTCATGACATACAATGATGAGAATGTTCCTGCATTCTTTTGGCTGTTTCAAATACCACTTAAATGCAAGAGCCTTGTTTTGAACAAGCCATGTTCAAGAAAAGTAGAATATCAGTAAAAAAATAATTCTCCAATTAGTACAACTTCTTTTGTCTTACCAGTTTGTTTGAAACCTATGCAATGCTAAATTTCAGCTTGGGAGCCATTTCACATTTTAAACATTTTTTTTGCTATATCTATAATTTGTATAGAGCATTATAGAGCAAGTGTTGGTACTGACATATGCCTTCATTCTAACAAGAAAAGGAGCTTGGCAATGAAAGTCTCACTGGTGACTTTTCAGGTGCAGCAATCTTGAGTTGTCCCATTATTTCACAACTCTTATTTATTGAGCACTTCCCCAGTGCACTCATAATGGGAAAACGATCCAAGTAAAAGGAGTTGTAGTCTCGGTATTCTTCTGAGTGTTAGCATTGTGATTGGAAAGAAGTACTCGTAGGATCCAAAAGACCAGTATTGTTCATAGGGAGTTTAAATTGAATGATTTTTTTGGTGGTACTTTCGTTGTTTATTGGCAAAAATTGAATATTCAAGCTGCTGTCTTTGACCTGTTTTATAAATGTACTCTCCCTTCTACTGAGCTGACCAAAACCTTGTTTCCAACCACTTCACCTGACTGGTGGTGATTGTAGCTGTAGGTATCTTTGATTTTAACTAAGGCTAAAAAAATCTAGAAAAAAGCACTGGTGCAAGGAACATATATGTAGCTTTTATACTTGATATTGTTGGAACTTTAAGGGAAGATGCGAGTAAAAAAACTCCAGTGTTTTTTCCCAAAATTACATACTTTTTGTTTTTATTTGCTTTAACAAGTTTAATTTCTCTACTTTCACAACAAAAAAACTGAAGATAATAATTAAACTCAAAGTATGTTAAAATCACTTTTAAAGAGCACAAGCTGGCTACAAAAAACTAGAAAGAACTCGTTGTCTAGAGTCCCCTGGAAATCCACTTGGCAGCTTGCCATTGCATTTCACATGAGGATTTCACTAAAGCCACATGCTCAAAATAACCATGATTGCCAAGGTCGCATGATGGAAGAAATCACTCTAAAAAATATATCTTTGCCGCATAGATGAGCTGTGACTTATACTATTATAATGCATCTTTGTCAAAATCAATTTTTGGGCGACTTCTTTAGGTTATAGACATCATGCTTTTGGTACTTCTGTAGCTGAATCAGGATGAAATGATTCCAGATATTCCTTAACACGTAAAGGGTGCCATTTTCTTCTCATAACTTGATATTGCCTGTATAATTATTATGAAGCTAAAGCAAGGAATTAGTAAGGGCTGGAAAATCTAGAAGTTCTCAGATTACAATTTTGCTTGTTCATTCAAATGTCTTATGCACACTTTCTTGATAGTTATTTGCATTCTACAGTTAATGAGGAGCAATATGGGCTACTGATGGCTCAGAACCATACAAGTTTAATGACATAGAAAGTTTGTACAAGACGAACTATATTTTACACATTGTCATGGCACAAAACGAAAACTGTGCAATTTACTACAAAAGAGTGGCTACTTTGGCTGGTTGGTAATGCATTTTTCGAAGAAATATACTTTCTCAGTGCGTAGGGAACGTTTCAGAAATAATAGGAAAGGAACAAAACTAATTACATATTTGAAATCAGCCTAAAAGCCTATATATAGAGCAAAAAAAAAAATAATTGCCCTAGTATACAGATTCACGAAGTTTCTTTTTTGAATTGCATCTCCCTCCAAGCCTGAGCTGTGCTATGAACTACGAAAGAGTCTGTTGTCAATGAAAGTGACTAATGTCTTTTTTTTGTCATAGCTCAGCCTTGCTGTATAATTCTTTTTTGCATTAAATGATGTGTTTTGCTGGAATCAGTCTATTGTTTTGAAACATTCCTCAAGTATTCTCCACCCTTGCCACGAACTCTCTTTTGCAGAATGCAGAATCTGAAAGGGAGCCATCGAAGAAAAAACCACGAAGAGATGAAGTGCAGAAGGTGGGCTGTTATAACATCTAAATGCTTCTGTTTTAAGACATGAACACTGTTGTGTAACCCCTTTTTTTTTTTACATTATTTTCATTTTTCTCTCTCCCTAAGGCTGCAGTTGCTAGGGAAATAAGCACCATTCCATCTCTGATTTACGCTATTGAGCAACATGAGAAGCTGCTCATCCAATTGGTGAAGAAGTCAAAGGTCAGTTTACTCGAGCCCGTTTTAGGCATGTGCTTCAGTGCACCTGCACGTTCTACCTTTGCAGGTTAACTTAATGGAGTTTGTGAAGATGAGTACTGCTAGAGACTTTCGCATTAATTCAGCTACAGTACAGGCACGCTTGGAGGAGTCTGCTGAAGCCAACGGTAGTGCGGTAAGGCACATGTTTGCTAATTATTATTCTCTCCGTCGCTAAGCATAAAACTTTAGTCAGTATTCACTGCTGTATTGTTTTCTTTCAAAGCTTGAATGACTCCCTCGCTCCCAAAAAATAAGTAACCTACATCTCTGGTGGGGCAGTGGTATAAAAGGATCTTTGCACCTAAACAAAGCATCTGAAGCATTTCGCTGCTTTAACCTAATGTCTACAAATGTGCCAAAAAAGATGCATCGAAATAAGATAACTGAGGAGTGGGTGTTGCCATCCAACCTCTATCTTTAATAAAAACTAAAAGGCAAGTCTGAAACCACTCTTATCCCACAATAAAAAGTGATGCTATGGAAAGGATACCAGAATAGCTGTGTAGCATTTTATTTGAAAAGGTGCGATCTTTTTAATCCACTGCTTAATGAAAGGAAACTAAGCATAATGGTCAATCTGAGTGAGCTCAGCAATTCCAGAGTCATTTCGATAATATGCTTCACGAGTAGGACTCCATGTTGTTGGGTGAATTTGCAAAGATTCTGTAAACACTTCCCAGAAATATTTTGGACAGTTCAGGTTTATCCAATAAAATTCGATCTTATTGACTAATATGTCTGCTCCATTCTTTATTGATACAGCATGTTCTAGTAAATTGGGTTTTCAAGCTGCCTGACCTTGAGAAACATTAGCAGCTTTTCCAGAGTGCCGTATAATCCCCAACCCCTAATTTGCTTGTCCAAATAAATAAATTAGTTACTAATAAGGGTAAAGTGGGGTGGGTTTCACTCGTTCTGGCTGTTTGTGGAGCCCTAATATGTCATTCACGAATCCCTTGGGTTCTACAAAACCCAGTTCGAGAACCCATGCTCTAAGTGATCATCGATGCGCTGGCCGATTTTGCTAGTACAGTAAAAGCTCGTTAATTCGACACCCGTTAATTCGGATAATTCGGACGGCTCTATTGGTCCCGGCCAAAGTGCATGTTAATCTATGGGACCAAATCTTCGTTATTTTGTCGGAATTCGGCTCCGCATCGCTTAATTCGGACAAATGCTGACGGCTGCTGCTACACAAAAGAGTGATAAAGCAGCGCTGGCACCACTGGAGTGAAACCGAAACCTGAGTGGCATCATCATCATCAACTAGTGGGGGCGATCGCAGCGTCACCGAACGTCGGCGTCTTCTTTCTTTTCCACTCAGCGCCTCCGACGCCATTTTCCCTTGTGTTGTGTCGGAACCATCTCTTCTTGCGGAGTTCTCTTTTTCTTCCATTGTGACCGTATTTGCATGCTACCACCATCGTGCGCTACAGTGATGGCAACGCCGAAAAAGCGGCAGAACTACGACGCGAAGAACTTGGCGACTAAAGTGGAAATTTTGGAAGCACTTCGCCGCAAGTCGTCACACTCCGCCGCAAGTCATCGCCAACTGTTTTCGGCACAGCGGTTTTGTGAGGCCCGAGCATGCAGCAGTAGCTGACGATGGCATCGAGGAGGTGTCAGCCGAGTCCACCGACGATGACTGCTCGACTTTCGATGCTGTCCTTCCCACAGATGTGACCTTTTAGGACTACGTCGCGATTGATCATGGTGTCGCCACGAGTGGTCTCCTGACCGATCAAGAGATTATTAATGATGTTACGGGCGCCCATGAAGACCACGATTCCGACGAAGAATCATGCGAGGAGATACAGCCGCGACCTCATCGCACCTCACGGGAAGTCTCAGAGGCACTGTTAATATTAGAGGACGCTTGCCTGAACACTCCCGACAGCTTGCGTGCTGTTGGCCATTTGGAACAGTTAAGAAAAATTGTGATGTCAGCCGAAATCTGCGCGAAAACGCAGACGACAATTACAAAATACTTCAACAAATAAAGGTATGCTTCGGCAGCTTGATTTTAAATGTTGTTTTCCCTGTTAATTCGGTTAATTCGGACAGTTTTTCCGGTCCCGTGAAATCAGAATGAACGAGCTTTTACTGTATGAACCCCACCTCACGTCAATGAAATCTCGTACACTGCATCTATCGCACATTTCACAAAAGGTTTGTTGTGCATGGAGCAAGAGATGTCAATATATTGATACACAACATACACAACAGCCGCCACAGCCTTGATGCATGAAAGAGAAAGACGACGTCAGTTGCTGGTTGTTGATGAACTGTCACCATCACGTCCTGGAGTCCTATAGTGACATTTTCGACTTCGCCAGCACGGCGTTAAGCCGAACGAGTGTTGTTACTCATCGCATCAATACTGGTGACGCGAGTCCCATTCACCGTCGTTCATACCGTGTTTCCACGTCCGAGCGTACAGTCATACAACAGGAAGTCGAAAAGATGCTTGCAAAAGACATAATTGAGCCCCCGTGTAGCCCCTGGGCTTCTCCTGTCGTCCTGATCAGAAAGAAGAATGAAACATGGTGCCTTTGTGTAGACTATCGGCATCTCAACAAAATTACGAAAAAAGATGTTTACCCGTTGCCTAGAATCGACGATGCCTTAGACTGCCTTTACGGTGCTACATATTTTTCCACTATCGACCTGGCTATTGGCAGATCGCTGTAGACGAGATGCACCTTGAGAAGACTGCATTCGTCACTCCTGACGGTCTTTATCACTTCAAAGTTATGCCCTTCGATCTCTGTAGTGCGCCGGCCACATTCGAAAGAATGATGGACTCATTGCTCCAAGGATTTAAGTGGTCAGCCTGCTTATGTTATTTAGACGACGTTATCATTTTCTCGCCCACATTGACTCCCATCTCGATCGTTTATCGGCGATTCTTGAAGTTTTTCATCAAGCCAGACTTCAATTGAACTTTTCGAAATGCCACTTCGCTCGCCGTCAATCTTGTTCGCCCCCACAATGCCCTCCTGACTCTCCGACCTATTCGCAGCGCCCCCGACCGGGAAAACTAGGCAGTGCAGCACCTGGAGGTGGAGCTGCATTGACAACGACCTCTGCAAGAAATCCTCGTGCAACATTGCCGACCACATCCTCTGATTCAGCCGCACCTCTGGCGAGACCTCACTACGCCCGCTCCCTATCCCCTGCTCGTTGTCTTTCTCTCTCATGCCGCAAGGCTGTGGGGGCTGTTGTGTATCAATATGTAGGACCTTTGAAGAGCAAGACATCTTGACATACGGTTCACAGGCCGCACTAGGGCCACCAGATTTTGAATATAAGGACCTTATAATGTATGCTTGCATCTATTACAGAGAGCTTTAAAGGGGCATTGACACAAAATTTCAAGGCCGAGATAGCCTGTGGGGTTTATTCCCTGGAACATTCGAATATCATCTGCGAAATGTCGATAGCTAATATAGCTTAGAAGATATTTTAAATTAATTTCGAAGTTTGCATGAGCCCTCGACTTTATCGTGCCATTGACACCCTCGAAACGGACCCTTTGGGGACCCCCTATTTTCCTCGCGTCATCGCGCTGCGGTCAACAACACAAGTTATGATGACGCCACAGCCGCCTTTTTTTTTTTTACCGCGTTTGTTCCGGCAGTCTATATTTCTCGGCGGCTGGTTGGGAGTGGCACAAGCATATAAAGTTTTGTGTTTGGTGACGTTGCAGTCCTATTTTTTATTTGAAAGTAATTCTTGATGCGGAACGTGCAGAAGTGTGTCACAGTTCTGTGTGCTGACATGCTCAAGAGTTGCACATGCTAAGTGGTGACAGTTGCACCCAGTTTTCGGAGCTCTCTCAAACCATAACTGAAACTTGCCGATAATTGTGGGCCTGTAAATAATTATCTGTCGCGTGCTGCAGAAAACTCCTTTAAGGTTGTAATAGGCACACATTTGGGTATTTTATATTCAATCATTTGTGCTTTTCTGCATGTGTTTGTTCCTTCAAACCTTCCAGACAGCTAAAATGCACTGTGTGTGCTTTGTTTTTGTGTTCAGGTATCATTTCATCTAACGTATTGGGAGTGCGGAGAATAACGTAAAATTAAATTCAATTTTCAAGAATTATAAATTATGAGAAAAAAAAACCCTCATCAGCACCAAATTTCCGCGAAGATTTTCACGGAAAATAAACTTTCAAAACACAGAACCCTGCCTGTGAGATGCTATTGACTTATGTACTACTGATGCTGTGGAGGAACAGGTGAACAACTTTGCAGAGTGAGGCAAACTTTACAGTTTCAGACAGCAGTCAAGTGCTCAATCGTTAAGTGTGCTGAAACTTGTGGTCTCTATAGTGGTTCAGTATATGCCATCAACTCAGTCTCCCTTACTTTCATCATTGAAACACTGGTAAAGAAATGCAACAAACACTTAAAGTCATGCTTTCAGATTTGCGGGGCCTTCTTTGATTTTATTTTTAGCCCCATTCCATATGTGGAGGGTCATAAAAAATATGTTGTTTCAAATCCAACCAAGTTTTACTGCTTGTCTAATACGGCTAGATTCAGTGTTTTGTGTGCTTGAAAAACCAGTGATTGCAATTACTTTCATTATCGTTAGTACATCTAAAGAAACGGCTGAAAAAAATAAGTTTATTGTGGTCATATGGATGAAAGCTCTATGATAGGTAAACTATATGGCCCCGCCACGGTGGTCTAGTGGCTAAGGTACTCGGCTGCCGACCTGCAGGTCGCGGGTTTGAATCCCGGCTGCGGCGACTGCATTTCCGATGGAGGTGGGAATGTTGTAGGCCTGGTACTCAGATTTGGTTGCACATTAAAGAACCCCAGGTGGTCGAAATTTCCAGAGCCCTCCACTACGGCGCCTCTCATAATCATATGGTGGTTTTGGGACGTTAAACCCCACATATCAATCAATATCAAGCTATATGGAACCTACACAATTAATAAAACAAATACAGACACATGTAGTAATTGGTGCCATTTAATTAAGTCATAGCTACATTTTCCTAGCACTTTCACCAATGTTCACCAATGAGCCAGGGTGCTCTGTCAGTTTTTATTGAATGGTTTGGTGGTTTACTAGCTAGAAACAGATAACCAAACGAGCTTTTCAGAGCAGTGTGACTGTGTGCTGTGGTGGTGATGAGGCCATTGTCTAGTATCGATAAAAGCTACTTGTGTGCATGTGTCTGTCCCAGGATGAGGACAACGGAAGCGTGGCTTCTACGGGCAGCTGTTCAGCACCAAGGTCCGGTACCGCAAAACCAAAAAGCAAACGGCTCCGTAAAGCCCCAGGAAGCAAGAAGTGACTGTTGCATGGTAGCATATGAATAATTATGTGTAGATCGTCACTATAAAAGTGAACTGGATAATATTTTATGTCAAACCTTCACTGATGTGAGTATGTGAAATTCACTGTAGAGGTGTTTTTTTTTTTTTTATACTGAAAATACTGGAGGCTTCTTTTGTGCTGTGATTGTTTGGTTGATTTAGCTGTAGGAAAGATGGTCAATGCGTAGTCTTGTCCGAGTTTTATACTTCTGACTCAAGATAATTTTTTGGTTTCGTTTACTTTGCTGCATCTATCTTTGTTGGCTTGAACTTCTCAGCAGTCTTATTGCGCAGTTGGGCCAGGTTGAAACACTCTTATCTTAGTATGGTGCTTGGATTGTTAGGTGTTAGGAAGTTAAAACGCATAAATCTTGGCAACCAGCCGCAGCAATCTTTAAACCTCGCTGAATGTGATTGGGCCCTTTGTTTGCAATACCATAAATGAGCTTAAGGCTTTTGACAGTTAGTTTCACCTGAAGAAAAGAAGCTTTGCCAGGCATTAGACATTGTCAAGTTGGATGCACAGGTGTGGTACTGAGTGACAACCCTGTAAGGTTAATGGTGACCATTGCTAAGCAGGTTCTTTAATGCACTCAACAGTAAGGTTTTTGTGGGAGAGGCATTACGCACTAGCCGTACATAATGACTTTGCATTTTTCCTCCCGGCCAGCATGATCTACAAGGAGCTGTCTGCAAGATTCTCTCATGTAGCACTGATCCTTGCCGCAATGTTTAAATCCAGTGGACTACTATGCCTTAGGGCAAAATTCAGGTTGACAAGTTGACAAGCGGCCACGTAATACAATAAAATTTCAAAAGGAGGTTGTCATAGAAGAAGAAAGCACCACTAAATTCAAGTGCAGGCCAAAATTCGCCATGCTTCTCTAGGGTAGCTATATAGTATCTGTGGACTGTGGTATTTGGCACAAAAAGCAGCGAAAACAATCGCTTGGGCTCTTATCACATGCTTGCTGCTTGTCACCATCACTGTCGTCTTTTGTGCATCATAAATTTTTCATCCCAGGGCAGGCTGCAATGTCAGCTGGTTTGACTGAGTCAAGACTAAGGTATTATGGTCTATTCAGTTGTTCCTGGAACCACATCATTAGTAAGTGTAGCCAAAGGGGGTTTTACGGTGCTGTTCTTTAAAGCTACAGTTGTACAAATAGTTGACAAGGCTTGGTGCAGAGTACATTGACTTCTTTTTTAAATATTGTTGATTTACTTCAATTTTTCATGTTCCAAAATACTAGAACACTGTTATTGCACATCTTGCCATTTTACACTCTTAAATTTGGGTGGCCATGCCCATATTATTATATTACTACCTTCAACGTTTGCAAGCCTTACATAATCATCATTAAACTTTTCAATTCTGCTTTAATGCGCAGGCCTGCAAAAGAGTAGCTGGGCAATCAGCCCCACCATGACTTGTCAATGCCAGTATTACTGGATTTAATTCTCTTGCCTTAATTAAGCTCTTCAGTGGTATATTTATAGATACTTGGGCAAGTCCAAGTCACTTGCAGATCGTTATGAGAAATCATCATTCTGCAGCGGAAAATAAATCTACTTATAATGATGATGACTTGCTGCTCAAGATTAACTAAATTTTGGTACATTCTCGGTACATTCTCAGTTACTGTTGGTTCAGATTTGTGATCATTCTGTTTGCCACTTGTAATGCCTCTGTCATGTGAATGTGTGATTCTCAAGCTGCCAAAAGACAGCTTTTATTTGCCGCTCCTCTGTCTATTTTGAAATGGACAAAAAATAAAGTTGATTGATTGATTGATTGATTGATTGATTGATTGTATGGTTGGGAGTGAGAACAGTTCCAACAAACGATGAGGCTGTTTGCAGGTTTAGAAACAACATTTTATACACAGACAAAACACACACACTAAAACAGGCTATACAAACGCATCGAAAGCATCAACTAGTGAATTAACGTTCCCAAAAGTCATGCACTCTGGGCGGACACAGGCTCACCAACTTGCATGTCTATCGGGTTCAGCGGGGCGTGGCGCTGAGGCACAGCATTGAGTTGATATGCTCAGCGTGTAAAGGGCAGCTTCGGAGAGGTTGGCACAGGTTGCTGGGAACTGGCGATGGAGCTTGATGCTTGCCGCTGCGGAGCATATGGTGACAGAGGAAGGTGCCAGCCACCTGACGCCCTCAACCTCAACTCGTGGACTGCAACACTAAAATATCACACTTGGGTCCGGCCATCTGACTCTCTCGAACAAGTTGCGCCATTTGCCCCTTAGTTTTCTTTTTGTCGCACTTGCCTCCTCGGGCCCATGCTTTTTAGTGCATGCCTCAGCTTCCTGATCATCTTTCCTCGCCGCTCAGGCAGGCGCTCTCACTTGGCGCGCACATCACAGCCTCGCTTCTGATGACAAACTGCTTTTCTCTTTTGAGAATGTTGAACATTACTTTAGTTTTTCGTGTTGACTTCTAGACTCACCCTTGCCTGTCCAGTCGAGGGAGCGAGTTTTGCCGTTCACCTCCTGTGTTACTTAGCTAGGCAATGTCCTCAGTGAATTGCAGCTTATAAAGGTACCCTCCGTTAATTCTTATCCCCAACTGTTCCCAATCCGGTGCTGTCAATACTTCCTGTAAACACGGTGCATTGGATAGATGTATATCTCCCTTCCTTAAACTCTTCTTTTTCTGGGTTTTATTGCTTTCTTGTGGAGCCAGTATTTTTATGTGACTAATCTGCACCCTGATTTTATAATGTCTTTATGACTGACAAGGCTTTATTGTTATCTATGAAGGCTACAGGGTTTGGTTACATCACCTGATTTACAGTGTAAAATGTGGTCTGGTTACCAGGTAGCCTTTACCAAACCCTGCTTTGTTATTTGGTTAATTGAAGTTTATTGTGGTTCTAATGACTTTTGTAGGTTATTGACATGACACTATCCACAGACAAGCCCATTCCAAATAAGAGATTGCTAAGCTGGGTGTTAAGTGTTTATTCTAAAAGACAGGCCATACAAACGCAGCCACAAGAAAGAAGATGCCACAGATGCAGACTTTCAACTGAAGAGGTGCATAGTGGCAGGAAAGAATGAAGGCATGAAAGCTTATCAGTGCATGCCCATGCAGAATGCAGATCTATCAATTTGGCACACGTGGGTCTACATGAAAAGATAACTGTTAAGGCATTGGATTTTTTTTGTCTTTTAGTTAATCGAAGGTTGGCTCACATGTTATCGATATGCCATGTCTCTATTAGACACCTTTCTTCATTCCTATGGCCGTACAAACTATGCATTCGTTGAATTTTAGCATGCTCTTACATTCTCAACAATGTAAAGATTTATGAGAAGGTGAGCCTCCACTTAGTGATCTTTGATGTTCCAATCATCTTCGGCTAATGCAGCAGCCCGTTTGTCCTACATGAAAGTGGCCGCAGCTAAAAGGAACCTTATACACCACACCTGTACAGTAATCAGTAAACTTGTTAGTGTGTCTTACGAAACATTTGTTAGTCCACTTCTTGTCTAATACTAGCTCATTCATGTGCATGGTGGGGCAAATCTTGCCTAGCTTATGGACAGCTAGGTAAGCAAAGCTTACATCATATCTACTGCCCACATTCTTTAAGCTTCAAGATATGCCTTGAATGTATGGAATACCTACAGCACATTTTTTTTTTGCCATTTCTTTCCAGTGAATGCTTGAACAGTTCTCTTTCAAGTAGACCTCCACATGTGCCAGATATATAGCTTCGCCTTTTAAATGGGTGTGCACAGATGCCTTTTTCATGACTTCATTCTTTTCTGCCATTGTGCAGCCTCCTCAGTTGATAGATGGTGTTTGTGGTGTCTACTTCTTTATTGTGTTTGTGTTTGCATGCACTTTTTTTTTAAATGAAACCCACTTTGCAAGAATGGAAATGAAAGCATGGTGGAGGGAAAAAGTCACCTTCTCCTTCTTTCTCTGTTGTGCACTCTTTCTTATTTATTTTATTTATTATTATTTATTTATTTATTTACCCATGTTGGTCATTGAAACATTTGACTTTCAAGTGTCATCTTGTACACAAAACTCTGCAGAGGGAGGCACTAGTTTATTCTGACATCGGAAAAGTGTAGGATGTGTATTCCAGCCTCTAACGAAGCATCCAGCATATTACTTCACAGGAGGTTTGATCAGTGTGGGGCTTGATGAAACTGAGGAGAGTGTGTGAAAAAATGAAAAGGTGACAAGTACAAGAGATATATTTCTAGTGTGACATCGTACATCAATGCATTCATTTATTTCTTGTACCATAGCCATGTTGTTTTGACCTCGTAGCTTTCATATGGTGGTGGGAAGTCACCATCATATGCATTCTATGCAGTCAGTAGGGACCTGACATTTCATGTCAATTTCTACATTTAAAAAATATATATACATATGTATATTGAGACAGCCTAAGGCTAGTAGTGCCCTTCCTGAAGGAAATGTGGAGTTGGCGTACCTTCTTCGTTTCTCTTTATAATTTTACTTTTCTCTTTTTTTTTCTTTTTTGGTTTTTGTCTCTATTACTATTTGGCGTTGGTGATCTGTTCGCCTGGCCAGGCCAGCTGTTCATGCTCCTTTTAGGTAACGAGATGGCGGAAGGCACTGTCCCGTTGGTGTAAAGCGCACATAGAACAAGTACTAACCTTTCTGTAATACAGTACCTTATGTAGGCTCTCCACCTTCTGGTGTTGCGCATGCGCAGTTGGTTGGTTGGTTGAAACTTTATTATATTCTCCTGCAGGGCTTTAGGCTACCTGGGCTCAGGTCTCCCACGAGAGGATGTAGAAGTTGTCGAGGTTTTTTACTGTAAAAATCGCATAGACAGTAACTCTAGTCGAGGTCTTGTCTCAGCGCCGCCTCGGGGGCCTGAGACAAGACAAGTAAATTGTGTTTAATTTGACTTTGTTCAGTGTTCAATAAATTGTGTTTAATTTGACTTTGTGTTCTTGTCATCTCGCGCATTTTATAGCCTTAAAAAGGCCAAATTTTTATTGAAGTAGTTCGGTATCTTTCTTCTAAAATAATGCAAATCATACGATTCAGTTATCTGGAACGAACAAGTCGTTCTGGGCTTTACACTTTAACATATCCGGCGTCATTAGATGGCTGTAGTGCGTGGCTCATCGTACAATAATATCGAAGGTTCTACGGGCCAAAACCACGATATGATTATGAGGCACGTCGTAGTGAAGGGCTTTGGAAATTTTAACCACCTGGGGTTTTTCTAACGTGCACCTGAATCGAAGTGCATAGCATAGAAAGATACCGAACTACTTCAATAAAAATTTGGCCTTTTTAAGGCTATAAAATGCGCGAGATGACGAGAACACAAAGTCAAATTAAACACAATTTATTGAACACTGAACAAAGTCAAATTAAACACAATTTACTCAACACTGAAACAAACAAACTGGAAGCCACTTTTCTTCAAAGGCAAGAGCCAGAGTTACAGCAGACGTGCTTTTTTGTTTGCTACAGCCACCTTTTCCTTGCTTTCTAATTTATGGTTGAAATCTCTGAAGGCGCACCTCGTCAGCGGGAGGCTTGAAAAAATGTCTCTTTTCGGCCGCGGATTTCGTCGAATCGTACCCACTTCGGCAACCAGTCACAAAGCAGCGAGGCATGTTTTCTCACATTCAAGAACCTCACATGACACATGTGAGCTGTGTAGCTCACAGGGAAAGCGATGACTCAGTTGAAGACATTAAAAAACACCCGGCACCATGCAGATCACGCCAACGCTGACAGCGTCGGTGCCGTTGTCAGACGGCATCGCCGAGAGGGGGCGCGCTTGCGGCTTTTTGACCGGTACAGGGAAGGGTGACACTCGCGACGCCGCAGTTTGCAAACTGAAAAAAGTATCTAGTAACGTTGCTGTATACCGTGTCTACCCCTTCATATTTGGCCCGATATGTCTTGGTTCGCAATACTCCTGTCCTGGCCTCAAACAGTAGAGAACTACCCCGTGTATTGTCATAGATCCTTTCCTTGGCAATTTCCTGTTTAAAAGTTCGATAGATATCTAGTGCGGACTTCTTAATCATGCCAATTTTCCACATGTCAGTCTCCGTTTCCTTCACCTTCTTCTTAACTGATAGTTTTTTTTTGTTTGGCCCCCTGCTGTTTTCTAACTATTTACCCGTCGATTTTCTGGTTCGCTTCCTCCATTTTGTATCGACATTCTTCATTCACAAATAGCTGAAAACCTTCTAGCCCAGCGCTCCTCCCGCAATTCTCTCAATCGCACCTCAAATTTTATCTTGCTGCTAGCTTCCGTGCCCTCATTGATGTCCATCCCATATCACCTTGTACTCCCTGATTTAGTGTATTCCTGTGAGCTCCTAAAGCAAGCCTACCTATTCCACGTTGCTTAATTTCTAATCTTGCTTGAACTTCTGATCTCATGCACAAGACCGCATTGCCGAACGTCAGACCCAAAACCATGACCCCTTTCCATATTCCTCCCACAACATCATACCTATTGTAATTCCACAGTGCCCTATTTTTCATCACTGCTGCATTCCTGTTACCTTTAGTCGTTACGTATATTTCGTGTTCCCTTAGGTACTTGGTCCCACTGCTTATTCATACGCCCAGATATCTGTATTTATCTGTTATCTCTAGCACTACTTCCTGTATCCTAAGCTCACTACCTTCATTATCATTAAAAATCATGACTGCTGATTTTGCTTACTGAATCTGAAATCCAACCTGTCTCCCTCATTACCGCAGATGTCCATCAATATTTGCAAATCTTCCTTGTTGTCGGCCATCA